CACCACTGCCGTCAACAAGGCAACAGAGCGCGATGAGGTAAACTTCCCCCGCCGTGCCAGGCCCGTTGAACCTGGCAAGGTGCGAATGGGCTTCCTGCCAGAGGAGTGGTTCCAGTTCTTCTACTCAAAGACTGGTGTCACTGGTAAGATCATCATTGTTACTTATATACTTTGAAGACAGTCATGCATCTCGGACTTAACCCATTGGATCCGAATGCATCATTGCCAAGATGTGTGGGGCTTGTAGGCTTGGTGCAAACAAACCCTCATGTGCCAGTGACAAAACTCCATGCCTCCTTTTTTCAGTGATATTGTCTTTTTTTCTGCATAAGCGTTTTTAGCTTTTTTTTCCATTTTTCAATGTATGTCTGTCATTTGATTTGATTTGTTTTCCTTGCACAAGCTCTCTAAATAGTCTATAATTTAGTGTAATAATAATAACAACAATGTATCTTCCAGTCATGACTCAGACATTACATTCCACACTTGTTTATTGATAGAAATAATACAAAAGCCTCTTGTTAAATACCAAATGAGTTTAAATCACCCTCTAAGAGGTTCATGCACTCGCAGTGAGTCTTTCCCATCATCCGGCCTTCATCCAAAATGCGCACGAAGGCAAGTTCGTTTCACCCTGGGCCATGGCATGTCACTGCCCCTCAAGCCAAATCCGGATCGTAGGGGTACATTATAGTCAAGTGATAACAAAAGAATATCAGTTATTTAGACAAAGCACAAGCTACTTGTAATTTTTTTTTTCAGAAATAGCAACTTTGGATGAAATATAAAAGTTAATGGATTTTGTTAAGCTTCACTTTGATTGCTCAAAAAGAAAAATGAAGTTGAACTCTTTTCCAGTGCCATCACTGCTGTAATCTATAGTGTTTTTTTTTTTATTTACAGGCCCTTACATGTTTGGAGTTGGTCTCACCACCTTCCTTTGCTCCAAGGAAATCTATGTCATGGAACACGAGTTTTACACTGGTTTGTCCATTTTTATCATGGCTGTGTATGCCATCAAGAAGTTGGGCCCTGGTATTGCCAACTTTTTGGACAAGGAGATTGAGGTATGTGCATATTTTTTATTACATATGATGATGCCTCAAATATAATGATTTTGATGAAATGCCTTGTAAAATCGAATCATCAGTCATCCTCATCAGCATCATCATCATCAATCTCAGTCATCAATAATCGTCATCATCAATAATCATCAGTAATAATCTCTAATATCACTAGTTACGTTAAAGAAAACTTGGACTATTTAAGACTTTGAGTTCTGAAATTTTTTGATCTCTTTCAACAGGATATTGAGGGCAGCTGGGTGAAGTATCGCCAGGACAGTGTCGAAGGTCTCAAGCAGGCTATTGAAGATGAGAAGAAGGCCCAGTGGGAAGCTGAAGGTCAGAAAATGCTCTTCGATGCCAAGCGAGAAAATGTTGCACTCCAGCTTGAGGCTGCTTACAGAGAGAGGCTGGCAACTGTTCATTCTGAGGTAGGTCAAGCAATCTCTTTGAAATGATGCTCAGAGGTTTTTCTTCAGTATTTGGATGGCTTAGTTTACACCCTCAACCTCATCCTCATCCTCCTCAACGCTGATTGCTAGTAACCTAGTAGTACATGGTTTATTTTGTATGAATACCTCATACCTCGTACCCCAAGGATTCTAGGGTTGACTATCAAGTGTTGGTTGAAGTGAGATAATCTTAAGAATCAGTTTATTAGATCTTTACTGGGGAGTAGTATGTTTACATCTGTGATTTATATATATCTATTGGTTAGTAAAAACCTGAACTTTATATGACTATTGCAGGTCAAGAAAAGGTTGGACTACCAGCTGGAGACTGCCAACGTCCAAACTCGCATTGAGCAGAAGCACATGGTTAACTGGATTGTAAACAATGTTAAGGCCTCCATCACTCCTGCTCAGGAGGCTGCTGCTCTGAAGCAGTGCTTTGCTGACCTCAAGGGTCTTGCTCCCCAAACTGCCTAAATTATGATTATTTTTCTATTTTGAGATTTTTTTGTCCAGTCAAATCATATTTTAGCTGTTTATTTGTATAGAAAAGTTTATTCCATAACCTTTTGGGCAGTAGGTCTTATTGGGTTCAAGATGACATCACATTGTGGTTGTGGTTCAAAGTGGAAATGATGAGCTTCTCATTCCATTGTCATTACTGTAGTTTACTTGATGCTCCACAACAAACCAATGATGAATAACTACCAGTGACAAAACCAAGTGTACTATGTACAATTTTCTTAATAAAATTTATGTACAGAGGATGTGTAAATAAATGACAGATGTCATATTAAAGGTTCTTAATTTCCCTGCAAGTATAAATTTGTAAAAATAATTTGTTTGTGTCTACCTACCTATAATCATTTGATAGCCTACTGCATGGACTATAAGAGTGGTAAACAAGCAGCTTTAGAATTAAATCAAGAAAAAATGTTTGGAAGCAATTATGATGATGAAAGGTAAAAGCCTTTATACTAACCAATTTCATATATTATATATGAAATATATAAATATGATATTTTGATCACAACACACTGCTTTAGTAGTAAAACTAAAACAGCTGATTTAAACCAATGCATTCCTGGATACTACTAGAGAAAAGAAATGAAAAAAAATTATTGGTGTTTTCGAAAGAAGTGATAACTAAACTGTTCTTACTATGATTCCTGAATAGAGATGAAGTATTTTTTGCAAATATTTATATAACTACCAGATTCTTGGAAGCGGACAACAGATGCTGTGCTGTACCCCTCCAGTCCCTTGCTCATTATTTCCGTGTGTGTGGGAGGGAGGGTTTAGGAGGCGGAGACAGTCCCTAAGTAGATGATCACTCCTACCTTAGTCCTCAGCCCTCGCCTTAATAGGAGATGGAGACTTAGTCACAGTGTAAAGGATCCCCCCTGCCGTGGACCCCAGCCCTCGCTTCAACTACTCTTGTATGATCTTTTCTTCCCTCCCCCCTTTCCATTTCCTTCCCTTCTTTATCCCCTTCTGTCGACTCATCTTAATCATTAACTCGTTTTACCCTATTCGTTACAATATTTTATCCTAACGCTACATGAACTCTGATGTCCAGCATATCTATTTGTTCTGACCATTAACCACTCTGGGAAACCATAAACATCGCTTTATGAACTGTGAAACTTCCTTACCTAGGGATGCAGATGTGATTTGCTTAACATGCAAATGTTAATACTCTTACATAAGCAGTTATCTTTTGAATATGAGGTAATTATACATATTTTGCAAGATACATTACTTTTATACTTACAGTACATTAATAACATCAAAATTATTTTACATGTACACACCTATCTACCTAAAAATGAATATATTAACTTTGAAACGCAATTAGCACGAGAAATACAGGTAAGCATGAGAGCAAAGAAAAAATATTTATGATAATGCACAAAAAAACTGTCCACCTATACATCAATTAGGAATAAACGCAGTGAAGACAAGGACAAAATAAAATATAAAGAACTAAGAAACTGCACATCCATACAAGGGAGAGGCTAAGTTTCCATTTCTAACATGATGATTACTGAAGGATTTTAAGCACCTCTGCCACAGGAAAGTGTTCTTGTAGGTAAGACAAGGTGGCGAGGGTACCAGTACTTACTGCTGTGTAAAGCTTAACTGACAGATTTTATTCGGGTAAGGAAAGTTTATAATGAATCGGATATTGGAATTACGTAGTACATGTACTGTAAATATATAAATACAAAACACTACCATGTTGATCCAATATATATGATTATTTAATCACACACACACGCACGCGCACACGCACACGCACGCACACACACACACACACACACACACACACACACACACACACACACACACACACACACACACACACACACACACACACACACACACACACACACCACACACACACACACCACACACACACACACCACACACACACACACACACCACACACACACACACACAACACACACACACACACACACACACACACACACACACCACACACACACACACCACACACACACACACCACACACACACACACCACACACACACACACACAACACACACACACACAACACACACACACACAACACACACACACACAACACACACACACACAACACACACACACACAACACACACACACACAACACACACACACACAACACACACACACACAACACACACACACACACAACACACACACACACACCACACACACACACACACACACCACACACACACACACAACACACACACACACACACCACACACACACACACACACAACACACACACACACACACACACACACAACACACACACACACAACACACACACACACAACACACACACACACACAACACACACACACACACACACAACACACACACACACAACACACACACACACACACACACACCACACACACACACACACACCACACACACACACACACACACAACACACACACACACACAACACACACACACACACACACAACACACACACACACACCACACACACACACACAACACACACACACACACACAACACACACACACACACAACACACACACACACACACCACACACACACACACACACAACACACACACACACACCACACACACACACACACACAACACACACACACACAACACACACACACACAACACACACACACACAACACACACACACACACCACACACACACACACAACACACACACACACAACACACACACACACACAACACACACACACACAACACACACACACACAACACACACACACACAACACACACACACACAACACACACACACACAACACACACACACACAACACACACACACACAACACACACACACACAACACACACACACACAACACACACACACACAACACACACACACACACACACAACACACACACACACAACACTATTTCTCATGGCCTCCTCTCAAAAAAAAAAAATAAAAAA